TGTTGATATTGAAGGAGATTGCCTCAACGTCATCAATATGTCTCCCTCTAACATTATCTTTGCTGTTTTGCTTAAGGACATCCAGTCCCTTCTATCTCCTCACAAGCATTTTTTGCTTTGTTGGTCTCCTAGACCTTATACTCAGTTGCCTATTCTATTGGCCAATGGGCACTCCGCTCCTATTGTGGGCAGGGAGGGACCAGGAAATGATGCGAGTGGGCAATAATAAATTTTTTTAATAATTTTAAAGGGGTAATGGTAATTTTTCAAGGGCATATACTTGAAAAAAAGCATATTAGCAAGATTCTATTGCTTAAAAAAAAAAAAAATTTCCTATAGGTCCGTCCCTGATTGTGTGGATTTCCACTGGCCCCTATAGAGGCCTCCGGCCTTCCCACTTTGTATCTTGATCTCTTTGATCCCCGATTGTCAGAAAAAAATAAATAAATAAATAATAATAATTACTAAAAATATACTTCCAATATTGAACACATTCCACAAATGTTGCTTTCATTTGGAAGTGTACTCAAACGCGTTTCAATATATAAATTTGACAAAAGTAATAAAAATAATTACACTGACCTATCTTCTATATATGCTTTATTACATAAATTTCTCCTAAATTTGAAAAATTAAATAAAAAATCTTTGTTTAAAATGTGATATATATATATATATATATATATATATATATATATATGTAATGAATATATATGTATATATAGAGTAATATTCAGAGAAATAAATCTTTCACAGATAGAGAGAGAATGGAAAACTTTTTATTCAAGTGTGTCCCAAAGCAGTATATACACATGGCCTATTTATAGGCTCAAAATTGTAGCTTCCCAAACAAGCCATAATAAGGCTTTTCACTGTAAGCAAGAATGGATGACTTAAGATTGTGGGCCCCACAAACATATATATATATAACACTCCGACTTGGGGTCCACAATACTAAGAATATATCTCGTTAAAACCTTACTAAGGAAAACCCAGTGGGACAAAACCCTAATGAAGGAAAAATAGTACAGTATTATTGTGTATGGTATTGCATAGATTAAAACCGCCTCATTAAAACCTTGTCAGGAAAACCCAGTAGGACAAAACCTGGACGAAGGAAAAAGAGTACAGCATGCCAATACCTTTTCGATCACTTGTTCCCCCTCATTAATTCAACCCTGAAGATCCTTTAGTTGGTGCATTCCAATGTTGTCCACTAACTTCTTGAATGTTGTAGTTACAAGCGCTTTAGTGAATAAATCTGCTAGATTATCACTCGAGTGTATCTGCTGAACATTAATATCACGGCTCTTCTGGAGCTCGTGTGTGGAAAAGAATTTTGGTGAAATGTGCTTGGTTCTGTCACTTTTTATGTATCCTCCTCTTACCTGTGCAATACATGTTGTATTATCTTCATATAATATTGTTGGACTATCTTTGATTGAGGAGAATCCACATGATTCTCGAATATGTTGTATAACAGATCTCAACCAAACACACTCTCTACCTGCTTCATGAATTGCGAATATCTAAGAGTGATTTGAAGAAGTTGCAGTCATGGTCTGTTTCATAGATCGCCATGATATAGCAGTATCACCATAAGTAAACAAGTACCCTGTTTGTGATCGGGCTGTATGTGGGTCAGAAAGATAACCTACATCTGCTTATCCGATCAACTGGGGCTTTGAATTTCTTGAATAAAACAACCCCATATCAGTCGTTCCCCGAAGGTAACGTATAATATGTTTGACCCCATTCCAATGTCTTCGAGTTGGTGCAGAACTATACCGTGCTAGTAAGTTGACTGCAAATGTTATATCAGGTCTGGTAAAATTCGCAAGGTACATTAGAGCACCGATTGCACTGAGATATGGTACTTCAGGACCAAGAATTTATTCGCCTTCTTCTTGAGGACGAAAAGGATCTTTCTTAACATCAAGTGATCGGACAACCATTGGAGAACTCAAGGGGTGAGCTTTATCCATATAAAAGCGCTTCAGGACTTTTTCAGTGTATGTTGACTGATAGATAAAAATTCTACTTGGTTAATGTTCGATCTGCAGGTCGAGACAAAATTTTGTTCTACCAAGATCTTTCATTTCAAATTCTTTCTTTAAATAATTAGCAGTCATGGTGAGCTCTTCAAGAGTTCCCATGAGATTTAGATCGTCAACATATACAGCTATAATGGCAAATCCAGATTTTGATTTCTTGATGAAAATGCATGGACAAACTTGATTATTCACATATCTTTCTTTTAGTAAATATTCGTTGAGACGATTGTACCACATGCGTCCGGATTGTTTCAATCCGTATAAGGATCGTTGTAGCTTGATCGAATACATGGTACGTGGTTTCAAGCTATTTGCTTCAGGCATTTTAAATCCTTCAGAGATTTTCATATATATGTCACTATCTAGTGATCCATATAAATAAGCTGTAACCACGTCCATCAGACGCATATCCAGTGCTTCTGAGACTGTCAAACTGATCAAGAAGCAAAATGTGATTGCATCCATCACAGGAGAGTATGTCTCCTCATAATCAATACCAGGTCTCTGTGAGAAACCTTGGGCTACAAGTCGGGCTTTATATCTTACAATTTCATTTTTCTCATTATATTTCCTTACAAATACCCATTTGTACCCTACAGGTATGACATCTTTAGGTGTCTGGACTACAGGTCCAAATACATCACGTTTTGCTAATAAGTTTAGCTCTGTCTGTATTGCTTCTTTTCATTTTGGCCAATCATTTCTACATCGACACTCTTCAACGTTTTGAGGTTCAGGATCCTCATTATCACTTACAATATCAAGAGCAACTGCAAAGGAGAATATATCGCTAATAATAACTGTATTTTTATCCCACAATTTTCTATAGTTTATTGAGATCTCATTATTTTTAGGTACCAGTGCTTTTTCAGAGGCTTGTGCCATTTCCGGCGTATGTGCCACTTCTGGGGCTACTTGCTTATAAAATTTAGATTGATAAATTATTTTCGTTATTCCTTTTGCAGGTGTGACCTCTTCAGGAGCGCCAATTGCTTGATTTGTTTTCTCTTGTACTTTCCTCTTTCAGGGAACGGTGTCTTTTGCACCAAATGGTTTACCACGCTTTTGGTGTGTCTTAGATGCATTTGCAATAACACTAACAGACTGTTCTACAGGGACATCAATTCTTGCTGGAATGTGTGCAGCTTGTATATGTGATTTCATCACTTTCTTTTGTGTCAGTGAATGCATCGGGTAATTGATTTGCAATACTTTGTAAATAAATGATCCTTTGAACTTCTAATTCACATTGATTTGTGCGAGGATCGAAATGAGATAAAGTCGAGACATTCCAATTAATAAGTCGTTGCTCTTCTGGCCTTTTCTTTTCCCCCTCTAATGGAGGGAAAACAGTCTCATCGAAAAGACAGTTAGCAAACCGTGCCTTAAAAACATCACCTGTCATAGGTTTAAGATATCTAATAATAGATGGAAAATCAAAACCTACATAAATACCAAGTCGTTGTTGAGGACCCATTTTGGTGCGTTGTGGGGGTGCAATGGGAACATATATAGCGCAACCAAAAACTCGTAAGTGAGAGATACTTGGTTGTTGACCAATCACAAGTTGTAGTGGTGAATAACTATGATATGCAGTTGGTCTAATGCGAACTAGTGATGTTGCATATAATATCGCATGTCCCTAAGTAGAAACAGGTAGTTTAGTTCTCATGAGTAATGGTCTAGCTATTAACTGAAGACGTTTGATAAAAGATTGTGTGACCACCGTGTTAATACATTAATTAAGACTATAAAATACCGAAATAGTCCACACGCTGGATGAATTGGTCCACATATATCCCCTTGAATTCGTTGTAAAAATGGTGGGCATTCATCAGCGACCTTGGAAGGTGATCGTCTGACTATTAATGTACCATGTGAACAAGCGGTACAAGGATAATCATTTGCTAAAAGAATCTTCTGGTTTTTTAGTGGATGACCATGTGAATTTTCAATGATTCGGCACATCATTGTTGGCTCAGGATAACCAAGGCGATCATACCAAAGTATAAAAATATTTGGGTCAGAGCACTTCTGGTGCGTCACTACATGTGACTCAATTACTCTTATATTTGTATAATATAATCCAGAAGATATAGTAGGGAGTTTTTCTAATACATGCTTCTAGCATATAATACAGAGATATTCAACGCCCCATTCATTTATAGTCTCAATATGATAACCGTTGAGACGTATATCTTTAAAACTTAATAAATTTCTTTTGGATTTGGTAGAGTATAGAGCATTATCAATATTTAATTTTGTTCCACATGGTAACATAATGATAGCTCTTCCGGAGCCTTCAATTAGATCTGCTGGACCTGATATTGTATTGACACGAGCTTCAACTAATGTTATACGCGAAAAATATTTTCTATCTCGGAGTATAGTGTACATTGTTGCACTATCTGCCAGGGATATATCTTCACCATTTATCTTGGGTACAGTCAATTCCTTAGTCAGATCCATGCTTCTTCATACAAAAAATATATATTTCATTACTTCAAACTTGAAATACAAAATAGATTTACATACAAGATAGCCAAAATAAAAACATATTGGTACAACCTAGATAGAGACATATTGATACAATGAAAATTTAAACATACTGATACAGATAAGATAAAACACACAAAGGATAACATGCTAGAGAAGGACATATTGGTATGGACATTTCCATCACCAATCAAATGATTAATACTACCACTAGGATCAGCAAAGAAGTCAGAAACATCAAGGTGAGTAATATCAACTGGTAAGTCATCATCCACAAAATTCATTTCAATTTCCTTTCCTTTCCCTTGTCATTCATTGAGGCACAGTAAAGATCAACTAGATGTTTGGGCGTACGACAGGTACGCGATCAATGACCTTTCATTCCACATTTATAGCAATGCTTGTTATCATATATCTCAGGAGCTTTGTTCTGCAAAGCTTTTCCTTTTGCCTACTTGGTCGCATTTGAATTCCACTTCTGGTGGGACGGTGTGGAGTTCCTTCTGGGAGTCAATGAGGAATTATGACCACCACAATTATTATAATTATTTCTATTGCGACCATATCTACGACCACCACTACGTCTGCGTCCGCGTCCACGTCCACGTCTATGGCCGTGAAATGAGGACACCTTCGCTTCTGGGAATGGAACAGATCTAGTTGGATGGGACTGGTGGTTTTTCATCAAAAGCTCATTATTCTGTTCAGTCACCAACAAACAAGAAATTAGCTCAGAATATTTGGTAAATCTGCGCTCTCTATATTGCTGCTGCAGGAGCACATTTGAGGCATGAAATGTGGAGTATGTTTTTTCTAACATATCATCATCAGTAATTTTTTCTCCACATAATTTTAATTGTGAGCTAATTTTAAACAAGGCTGAATTGTACTCACTTACACTTTTAAAATCCTGCAATAGCAGGTGGATCCAGTTATAGCGAGCTTTTGGAAGGATCACAGTTTTCTGGTGTTCATATCGTTCTTTCAAATTTTTCCACAGTGTAAGTGGATCGTTAACCGTGAGGTACTCTATTTTTAATTCCTCATGGAGGTGATGGCGAAGAAAAATCATAATTTTTGCACGGTCCTGCAAGGACGCATTATTTTCTTCCTTAATTGTCTTTCCGAGATTCATGGCATCCAAGTGGATCTCGGCGTCAAGGATCCATGACAAGTAGTTTTTGCCCGAGATATCAAGTGCCACAAATTCAAGCTTGGTAAGATTTGACATTATGAACTATAAATGATAAAATAACATAGTCAGAATTATTTCACAAAAAGAATAATCAATTTGAGATTATAAAAATACTGCAGTCACAATAATATGATTTGCATAGTAGTGATACCATATATATAAATAATAGTCAATTTATAATCACAACAGAACAAGTGGCTTGGTGGCTCGTTAACTCAACTTGCGCATTAAAGGGCCATAAACAAAGAATAAGTTATATGTATAGTAATGTACATAAAGTAACACGTAAAAGATTGTAACAAGATATTTAGCATTATACAATGTCAAAAAGTTAATTATGTGCTTTCAGTTACAAAACAATGGCTGATGAGCACTGAAAAGTGCGCATTTAAACCCGTTAAGCTTAAACATTCTAGTACCTTTATCTATCTTACTTTGCCGTTTTAGACTTATTACGTGTTATTTATATTTTCAGGCACTAATCCCAAAATTGAGCTAACTCAGCCAAATAAGAGCTTAATTGAAGCAATCCTGAGATAAACCAAAGGAGGGAGCAAAGTGGAGAAAACAAGGAGCAAAAAGGAATCAAAGTTGTGCAGCTGAAAAGTTCGATCGATCTAACTTAGAGTTTGATCGATCGAACATCTATGATCGATCACAGTACTTCTCGATAGATCCAACCTTGGCCTTTGCTGAAATTCCAAGTTTGATCGATCCAACATCACCTTCGATCGATCAAACCCTATTTTGTCCTATTCAAATGATTGATCTTATCCACAGCTGTACGCCTACCAACCACTTTTGTCCTTTTCCCCATAAATATCTTCGAAATATCTCAGCCTTATCCTTATCCGGAGGAGTCAGACCACTTCGATCGATCCAAGATGCAGTTCGATCGATCGAACCCATCTTCGATCGATCCAAGTTAAAGTTCGATCGATCGAACTTCCTCTAGCGAGAAAAAGTTAAAGTCCAACTCATTTATTCCGTCCTTCACCCAATCATTGGAGAATATGCCTTGCACGACCACAGCTCATCATAGGGTGTATTTGACCTACCTATATAAGGAATATGATACACTTTTTGGAGGGGAGCCTAGAGTCTCTTGTCACACATTGAAAATCATCTTGGAAGCTATTCTTGGAGAGGAAGAAGGGAGGAAGCTAGAACAACCATTGGAGGAGATCTTCATCTACAAGGAGCAGCCATGGAGTTAGCCCTTGAGGGTTAGATCATCACTACTATGAGTGGCTAGATATCTTCTTGGGGCTAGAGTTAGCCCCAAGCATGCTTTCTATACTCTAATCTTGTGTATTATTAAGGGATTAGTGTTGTATGATACATCTTGATATTCATGTATATATAAATCTTGATTATTTCATGGTTTGTATGGTTTAATGCTTCCAATTGACTATTCTATTCTACCCATATGTCTATGTATGCTAGAGTAGGATATTCATGTGCTTATCTCTAGATTTAGTGTTTTTGATGCATGTCTATGTGTATTGATGCTATAGATCTAGAGATTATCAAGATGATATGCTTAATGAATACTATTTTGGTTCATTTGATGGTTTATGCCTATTCTTGATGGTTTGTGCCTCTCCCCTAGTCTAGATAGCTTTATTTTCATGCTAGTAGTGTAGATTTAGTGTAGTGGTAGTATAATGTTAGATGGGAGGACAATCTACTCTTGATGTTTGATGTTCCATGCTTGTGAGTCCAAATGGCATATTCCTCTAATATTGTGTTGCATGTGGATTGTGAGCTTAATGAAGGATTAATGACTTATTTTGATCGATTGTGCTATCCCCATGTTGTCTAGACAATATATGCTCTATTGCTTAGATATATCGTGCTCTTCACATGATGTTTAGACAATACTTGCTTGATTTATCATCCTTGCCAATTGAATCAACCTAATGCACACACACCCCTTATCATATTGCAACACATCCATTACCCTCAATTGATCACTTGTTAGTAATATAGAAAAGTATTGCTTGGTGGTGATCTCTACACCCCAAGACCTCTCTCTCTCTTGTTTACCTCATATTATTTTATTTAGTTGAATTCAATTTAGCTTAATCAACCAACCAACCAATTGTGTGATCACTTGACCTACTAACCCTAATTACCATAGTTTCACAATTCGATACACCATCAAATCCCTTGGGACGATCCCTACTCGCCCTATCTATATTTTATATATAGAAAAGTAGTAGTGGCTTTTTATAAATGTAAAACTTGGCCACCTCCTAAACACACACAACTCTTCAAGCTTGACTTGGTATCGCGACCCTTGTAAAGGACCGGTCAGTTTTTGGCGCCGTTGCCGGGGATTTTAAATTGGCAACATCGAATTGTGAAATTCAATTAGGATTAGTACTCTTTTGATCGTATCTTTACTTTCTTTTTATTTTCTGTTTTTGATTACTTATTAAGTTTGTTCTTCATTAACAAGGTGCATTGAGCAAGGAGCTAGCAAAGTAATTCCAAGCTAAGGAGCAAAGCAAAGCAAAGGAAAAATGCTTAAAATGAAGAGTTGCTAAAAATTTTTTGCTAAGCTAAGTTTTTAAATTTGGAGTTGAAGTGCTAAAGGACTATTGTGAGACCTTCTTACTCAATCTCCTTAGTTAAATCGGGGGCCCACGTGGAGGCATTTATTTGACATACATTGCATTTGAAAATTGTGGTTGTGAAGTTTAATTGCATTGTTGAGAAAGTTGCTTATTCGTGTTGCATTGTGCATGCATGGTCGTCGTTCATTGAGACCTACTCTTGTCCCTCTTGATTTGCATTTAGAATCCACTATTAGGAATCCAAGGGGAAGAGGAAGTTCACATAGAACCAATCTACCAATGGATGCTCTCAATGATGATCATCTTGAAGACCTTGGTCACATGGACCAACAAGGCATCCTTCACCCTAATGTGCAAAATGATAATATGCAAGTTCCATTAGGCATGCCTAGGCCATACATTCATCAACCTCCTCAACAACAAGGCCAAATTCCAATGGGAATTCCAAGGCCAATGTATGCACCACAACCCCCCATCATTAATCAAGCTCAATATAACCAAGGTGTCCATGTTGCACCTCAAGTTGCTAATCCACCACTCGCATTGAGAGATCACTATGTGCCTAATGAGTATAATGCACCCACATGCATTCAATTGCCACCATTTAGAGCACACCATTATGAGATTAAAGCACAAACTATCCAAATGCTACCTAACTTTCATGGACTTCCTAGTGAAGAACCTTACAAGCATTTGGATGAGTTTCTTGAAGTTTGTTCTACCGTTCGATACACGGACATGCCGGAAGAAGTTTTAAGGCTGAAACTTTTTCCATTCACCCTTAAAGATAAGGCGAAGTATTGGTTCAACAACCTTAGGCCTTTTTCTATAACTTTTTGGGCAGAAATGCAACAAGAATTTTTGAAAAAGTACTATCCGGTTTCGAAGACCAATGCTATGAGAACCGCCATTAGGGAATTCACACATGGGGAGGGAGAAACTTTCCACGAGGCATAGGAACGCTTCAATGAATTGCTTAAGAAGTGTCCTCACCATGACATGCCTAAATGGCAATTGGTCCAATTCTTCTTTGAAAGCTTATCGGACAATTATAAAGGCATGGTTGATGCTTCAATGGGAGGTTCTTATATAGACTGGCAAGAGGAAGACGTGTGACGTCTTTAAGAGAGCATGAGTGAAAACTCTTTGCATAGAACATTGTCATCTAGGAATGGTAGAAATTCTCAAGGTAGGAAGAGTGTTGGCTTACATCAAGTTGACCACTCAAATGATATAACCGCCGAGATGAAGTCTTTATCTCAAAAATTTGATCAATTGATCAATCAAAACTCGGCGAATCAAGTGTCTTCCTTTCCTAATCATTCTCCTAGAGCTCAAAATGAATCATGTATGACTTGTTCTAGTGTTCTTCATTCTACTTCTAATTGTCCTCATGGACAAATTCAAAATGAACCCATTGAGCAAGTTAATGCAACATTTGTGAACCAAGGGAACAATCCTTATGGTAATCATTACAATCCCGGTTGGAGGAATCATCCTAATTTTTCTTGGAAAAACCAAGGGGAGGGTTCAAACTCTTCCCAAGGCGGTTTTCAAGGGAAATACATTCCACCTCCACTTCAAAACCAAGGATCCCAAGGTTCAAGACCATATAACTCACAAGGAAATCAATTTGCTAATTCTCATTTTCCTAACCAATCATATTCTTAAGGAAATTCTAGAGGTTTCGCTTTTGAGGAAAAGGTTTTAAATGCTTTAAGCACTCTAGAAGCAAATACTCAATTGTTGCATTCTCATTCTCAGTCAATTGCCAAGCTAGAAACCCAAGTAGGGCAAATAGCTGAAACACTTAATGCTAGAGAGAAGGGAAAGATGCACGTGAATGCCCCAATCAAACAACAATGTGTTGTAGAAACCAAATCCTCATTGGAAGGGCATAATGTGAGCATGTCAATGCGGTAACAACCTTGAGAAGTGGTAGGGTAGTAGATAATCAAGTTAGAATGCCTAATGAAGAGAGTGAACCGGTACAACCTCAAGTTGTCACCCGTCCCGTTCCACACACTATTCCTCCTTCATTGCATGTGCATGATCTTGAGAATGAGAAGCCCTCAAATTATGAGTTGAAAGATGATTTCCAAAGAGATTCATTGAAAACAGTGTTGAAAAATGTGTTTGAGAAAAGTTCTTTGAAAAATCTTATTCATGATTCTTCTTTGAAAAGTGATTTGAAATCCAATGAATTGAACAAGTCCAATGCTGAAAATTCTTTGAAAAAAAATGCTGAAAGAGTTTTTGAAAAAGCTCCATTTCCGGACGCCTTGAAAGGGTTCATTTCAAAAGAAAGGCAAAAGACCAAGAACAATGAGATAATGGATATGTTTAGGCAAGTCACAGTTAATCTTCCACTTTTGGATGCAATTAAGCAAATTCCGGCTTATGCCAAATTCTTAAAAGACTTATGCACCCAAAAGCGGAAGAACAAGAGCCAAA